CAAAAAGTTAAATATATACCTATCACATGACCCAGCCACTCCAATTCTGAGTATGTACTCAAGAGAAAGGAAAGCTGTGTCTCCACTGCCACCCCCACGTATCTGAGACAGGTCTGACTCCATTCGGAAAGTTGGTTTTGCCGGCCAGGCGCGGTGGCTCACGCTTGTAATTCCAGCACTTTGGGAGGCCAAAGTGGGTGGATCACGAGGTCAGGAGATGGAGACCATCCTGGCTAACACGGTGAAACCCCGTCTCTACTAAAAATACAGAATAAATTAGCTGGGCGTGGTGGCGGGCGTCTGTAGTCCCAGCTACTCGGGAGGCTGAGGCAGGAGAATGGCGTGAACCCGGGAGGTGGAGCTTGCAATGAGCCGAGATCGCACCACTGCACTCCAACCTGGGCGACAGAGGGAGAATCTGTCTCAAAAAAAAAAAAAAGAAAGTTGATTTTGCCAAGGTTAAGGACGTGCCCATGACACAGCCTCAGGAGGTCCTGACGACACGTGCCCGAGGTGGCTGGGGTACATTTCAGGAAGACACGAGACTTCAATAATATGTGAGTAATATGTGTAAGATGTATATTGGTTCAGTCCCAAGAGTCGAGACAATTTGAAGAGGGGAGACGGCTTCCAGGTCACAGGTGGTAAAACAAAGGGTTGCATTCTTTTGTGTCTGATTAGCCTTTCCAAAGAAAGCCATCGGATGTTCCTTGATCTCAGTGAGCAGAGCAGAGGAATGGCTTGGAATTCTGTCCCTCCTGTGTCTGCAGGGAATTTCCCTGTGAACACATCCTGAGGGAGTTAGGCAGTTTTTTTATTTTTTTAAATCTTAGCTGTCTTTTTAAAGACTAGAACAGAAGGCTGGTTGGCCCTAAGCAGTTGCCAGCTTGACTTTTCCGTTTGGCTCAGTGATTTGGGGGATCCCAAGATTCATTTTCCTTTCACACTGCGAACACTTGTACACAAATGTTCATGGCAGTTTTACCTGTGAGAGCCCCAAACTAGAAATAACCCAAATGTCCTTCAACAGAGGAATGGAGCCGGGCGCGGTGGCTCAAGCCTGTAATCCCAGCACTTTGGGAGGCCGAGACGGGTGGATCACGAGGTCAGGAGATCGAAACCATCCTGCCTAACACGGTGAAACCCCGTCTCTACTAAAAAATACAAAAAACTAGCCGGGCGAGGTGGCGGCGCCTGTAGTCCCAGCTACTCGGGAGGCTGAGGCAGGAGAATGGCGTGAACCCGGGAGGCGGAGCTTGCAGTGAGCTGAGATCCGGCCACTGCACTCCAGCCTGGGCGACAGAGCGAGACTCCGTCTCAAAACAAAACAAAACAAAACAAAACAAAACAAAAAACCAGAGGAATGGATACAGAAATTGCAGTGTATCCAACAACGGAACACTTTTTTTTTTTTTTTTTTTTTTCAAGTAGCTGGGACTACAGGCCGCCCCGCCCACCTGGCGTCCGGCCTGCTTTTTTTGTATTTTTAGTAGAGACGGGGTTTCACTGTGGTCTCGATCTCCTGACCTTGTGATCCGCCCGCCTCGGCCTCCCAAAGTGCTGGGATTACAGGCGTGAGCCACCGCGCCCGGCCGGAACACTTTTTATAAAAAGTAACAATGAGCATACACCACAGTGTGGGTGAGCGTCTAAGAAACGCTGTCACCGAGGACAGGCGTGTCCTACTCTTCTGTCCTGTACAAGGAGGGCCCTGTGGATGATTCTAGCCAGCGCGACTTACTCTGCCGGAACAGCAGATTCGTGGTTGCCTGAGCGTGGGGAGGGAAAGAATCACCAAGGGGCCGAAGGAACATTTGGGAGTGTCGGAGATGTTTGTGGGGGCTCCCAGGGGTATACGTGTCCAAACCTAGCAAACTGCACACTTTAAATAGTTGAAGTGGGCCGGGCGTGGTGGCTCACGCCTGTCATCCAGCACTTTGGGAGGCCAAGACGGGCAGGTCACTTGAGGTCAGGAGTTTGAGACCGGCCTGGCTAACATGGCAAAACCCCATCTCTACTAAAAATACAAAAATTCTGACTTGGTGGCGGGCGCCTGTAGTCCCAGCTACTTGAGAGGCTGAGGCAGGGGAATCACTGGAACCTGGGAGGTGGAGGCTGCAGTGAGCCGAGATGGAGCCACTACACTCCAGCCTGAGCGACAGCGTGGGACTCCATCTCAAACAGTAAATAAATAAATACTTGGAGTGTATTACGTGTTAATTATACTTCAATAAAGCTATAAAAACTGAAAAGGAGGCCGGGCTTGGCGATGGGGCCTGTGGTCCCAGCTACTCGGAAGGCTGAGGCGGGAGGATCGCTCGAGCCTGGGAGGTCGAGGCTGCAGGGAGCTGGGATGGCGCCGCTGCACTCCAGCCTGGGCGACACAGTGAAACTCGGTCTTGCTCCCTGACTGCCGCAGGGTCCAGGGCTTCCACCAGGGCTACGTGGCTTCAGGAAGGGGAGCCTAGTAACCCCCCAAGAGGCGCCCTTCTCGCCCCCTGCCCGCCCAGACGAGGGGCAGGGCCCGGGACCCCCTGACCAGGGCAGGAGCCGCAGAGCCAACCCCGTCCCTGCGCAGTGGGGGCCTGGTGCCCTCTGGTGGCCGCTGGGGGCACAGCATGCCCCGTCCTCCCAGGGGACTCTGCCCGGCAGGCCCGGGGGCTCCTCTCTGCCTCCACCATAGACCTGGGTTCTTCTTCCTCCCCGGCCTGAGGGGTGCTGCTGCCTGAAGTGCAGGGGGGCCCTGGCTATTCCTCATCCTACAGCCGCCATCCCCCTGCCGCTCCCACCAGGAAGGTTCACGACTGGGCTGGAGCGCAGAGAAGGGTTTCCCGCTGAAGCCTCAGGCCAACTCCACTGATAGCTGGTGTGAAAAGGCCTCAGGGTAGGGCCCTTCCCTCCGCAGCCCTAGACCTCCTCCCACAGCTCCCTGCCTTGCCCTGGGCCTCCCTGCCTTTCCTGTCCCAAGCCCCAAAGCCTTCTCATCTCGTGATGGTCCACGTGGGCCTGGATGCCCACCCAGGATGTGGTGCTGGATCAGCTGGGCGTCCACGTGAAGACAGAGAGGAGCCCCGTGCCCCCCACCTCCCACCGTCCGCAAAAGTCAACGCCAGGTGTGTGGCAGAGCCGAGCGTGAAAGGCAACACAATGAAGTTTTTTTTTTAAATGAAGGAATAGACCAGGCATGGTGGCTCATGCCTGTAATCCCAGCACTGTGGGAGGCGGAGACGGGTGGATCACGAGGTCAGGAGATTGAGACCAGCCTGGCTAACACAGTGAACCCTGTCTCTACTAAAAATACAAAAAAAATTAGCCAGGCATGGTGGCGGGCGCCTATAGTCCCAGCTACTCCGGAGGCTGAGACAGGAGAATGGCGTGAACCTGGGAGGCGGAGGTTGCAGTGAGCCGAGATTGCACCACTGTGCTCCAGCCTGGGCGACAGAGTGAGACTCTATGTCAACAACAAAAAAAAAAAAAAAAAAAAAAAAAGAGGGAATAGGCCAGACGTGGTGGCCCACACCTGTAATCCCAGCACTTTGGGAGGCCGAGGTGGGCGGATCACCTGAGGTCAGGAGTTTGAGAGCAGCCTGGGAAACATGGAGAAACCCCGTCTCTACTAGAAACACAAAATTAGCCAGGTGTGGTGGTGCCTGTCTGTAATCCCAGCTACTCAGGAGGCTGAGGCAGGAGAATCTCTTCAACCTGGGAGGCGGAGGTTGCAGTGAGCTGAGATTTTGCCATTTCACATCAGCCTGGGCAACAAGAGTGAAACTCCGTCTCAAACAAGCAAACAAAGGTACCGTTCAGAGGGTGGAACATGGAGGCAGAGAGGGAGAAGATCCCCCAGTACAAGAGTTCAATGAAGAGCTCGTCCAAAGGAGGAGGCACAGGGAGGCGGCCAGAGCCGAGAGGTGCCACCCAGAAGCAGACGTGCAGCTCCTGCACAACTCCAGCCTCGCCTGGCGAACGGGGCGGCACCTTCTGACGCTGACCCCACGCGTCCTGGAAATGCGAGAGGTTTGCTGAAAGGAGCGTTTCCAGACATTCACGGCCACACCGTGTGTGGTAGCTGCAAACTGGAAATTACCCACATCACCACCCACGGGAAACGGCACAGCCGCGTGCGGCATTCACGCAGGACGGCCTCGTCCGCACGGCAGCTGTCTCCCGAGCGCAGCGTGGACCCGAGGACGCAGACGCAGAAAGGGATGCAGGGTGCGATTCCACTTGTGAAAGCTCAGGTCAGGCTGGCCCTGGGTGGCGGGACGCCGTGTCCTGCGGCCTTGTGGTAGCTACTGTCTGGAAAAGCATCGTGTGGCACCAGGCGGCACTTTCCGCACGCCCAGCTCTCGCTGCCACCCCTCACAGTGCAGGCCCCAGTCTCCTAGTCCTGTGCCCTGGACTCCCAAGAACTTCCGGGTCCAAACCCCTCCTTAGAGAGATCCCTGGCCCCCCCAGCCACCCCTCTCCCTACTTCCTTCTCGGGAGAGCTGCCGTCGGAGCTGAGCTCATCTGCCTGTTAGATTGGATGTTTATTGTCGGATCTCTTGCCCTGTCTTCTTGTCCCCTGGCTCGGAACCGGCCTGGGAATGGGCACCGTGAACCCCAAGGTCAGGACAGCCTGGAGGGTGCAGCTGAGCAGAGCTGGGCGTGGGGACACCTGACCCTGACGCTCCCTGGCTGTGTGGCTACACATGAGCCTTCACATGAGCCCCGGAGGTCAGGACAGGGAGGCACAAGCCCTGGCCAGGACACAGAGGCCATCTCAAAAGCAGGCCAGGAACATTCCAGGGGTGGCAGGGAGGGCAGGTCTGAGGTTTCACTGTGGGTGGCGGAAGCACGGGAACGGAGCTGCCTGCAGGTCAGCGTCCTCCGGCCTGTGTCTGACCTCACCTCGGCCCGGCCCCGTGCCAGGAAGTCGTTCTCACGTACTGTAGCTGGAGGGCCCTCAAATGCCATCTATTTGTGGCCTGGACCCTGATGGCTGGCACAAGTCACGTGTGACCACAGGGACGCGGTATTTTTGGCACGGGGGTGGAGCCTGTGCAGCCAGCCTAGCACCATGCCGCCCTGGGATGGGCAGCTCAGACCCCCAGCTTGGCCGCCGGGACCCAGGTAGGACAAGGTCAGCTGCTTGCTCCTGACCCAAGGGGTCCCAATGGCAACAACCCCCACAGAGGTTTCTCCAGAGACCAGAGAGGAGGGCGAAGGTCAGTGGGCGGGAAGCCACCATCCCTGGCCTCCGTCTCAGGACTCTGTCCCTGCCAAAGGGACTTCCTACCCCCTGGGTCCAGAGGGGCTGACCTGAGGCCGAGGTCAGTAGGGGTAGACCCGACAGCTGGCTAGGCTCTCCTTGCTTCTCTGAGATGGGGCAAAGGAAGGCACCCTGAGCAGCCAGGCAGGCCTGGGTTGTGCTGCAGACCTCGAGGACGGCCCGAGGTGGTTGCTGGGTCAAGAGACCCATTGCACCCTGCACCTCCTGCCCAGGCTCTCCCTGCTGACCGGGGCCAGCTCCGGTGAGCACCACCTGGAGCTCAGAGAATAGCCTGGCCCAGCCAATGCGATCGGAAGGTCATCACCGAGGGCTGGGCACCTGCTGGGCCCTGCAAACCTCTTCTGTGGCCGGCTGCCAGCTGGGGCGCCCTAGGATGGGCCAGGGCCGCCCGCCTCCCGAGCGCACTGGTCCCATTGGGTGGACCCTGAAAGGTGCTTTGCCATGTAAAGACAGCTCTGGCAGAAGGTGGAGGAAGTGAGGCCGCCCCAGCTAAGGTGTGATGGGAAACTGAGCGTTCGACCCTGAGGGCGGCTGGTTTTATAACTTCACTGGTAGAAAATCATCCTAGATTCTAGAAACGTAACACACGATGTGATGTAATCATCACACAGCTATCATTTGGGGTGCATTGGGAATTAGGGTCATGGGAGCTGGGGATCTTCCAACTTGGAAATCATCACCACTACGTTTGAAGGAAGCGCGACCCTCCCCTCGAGATGTTCTCTTCCTTTCAGGGCCCAGATGGAGCCCCGAGGCGGTGGAACCCCCGGGTCTCGTGCGGCAGGAGCCGCATGTGCGGTGTAGTGCCTGGGGCCTGAACCCACGAAGACCCCACTGGACCCATTCTGCTACCCTCCAGTGCCTCTGCTGACCCCACATGGAAAATTTCCAGTACAGCGTCCAGCTGAGTGACCAGGACTGGGCTGAGTTCTCAGCCACTGCCGATGAGTGTGGCCTCCTGCAGGCTGGCCTGGCCTCTGGGGACGAGCCCTTGTCCAGTGACATTGACCAAGGGGACAGCAGTGGCAGCAGTCCCCCCAGGCCCCCGCCTCTCCCAACTGGGCAGCCAGCTGCAGGAGGGCGGAGCTGGCGGGGCTGCGAGGGGGAGGACGTGGCCACACAGCAGCTGGTCAGCAGGTCTCTGTGTGAGCCTGTCTTGGCCCTGGGGACCGGTCAGCAGACACCCAGCACGTCCACACGGGCAGAGGCTCCACCGTCCCTCGGCCCCGGCGCCAGCCCTCCCGGCCAGTGCTCATCCCGCCCTGGTCCGGCGTCTTCTGGAGACCAGATGCAGAGGCTTCTGCAGGGCCCTGCCCCACGGCCCCCTGGTGAGCCCCCTCGGAGTCCCGAGTCCCCTGGCCACAGCACTGGCTCCCAGAGGCCCCCCGATAGCCCTGGAGGCCCACCACGGAGCCCCAGCCGGAAGAAGAGGCGAGCTGTGGGTGCCAAGGGGGGTGGGCACGCAGGGGCCTCTACCTCTGCCCGGACGGGCTCCCCGCTGCTCCCCGCGGCCAGTCCTGAGACGGCAAAGCTGACGGCCAAAGCCAGGCAGGAGGAGCTGGGGCCAGGCCCTACAGGAGCTCCTGAGCCAGGGCCAGATTTGGGCCTATCTACACCCGTCCCTGTGACTGAGCAAGGCACAGACCAGATCAGAGCCCCTCCCCGAGCTGAGCTGCACACGGGGTCCACACCTGTCCAGGAAGCCCACCCAGGTGTCTCATGGGCTAAGTCAGACCTGGCTATGTCCACACCTGCCTCCGAGCCGCAACCTGACACGGCTGTGTCCACACTGACTTCTGAGCCTCAGTCCAGTGTGGCCCTGTCTACACCCGTCTCCAAGCTGCAACCTGACACGGACACGGCTGTGTCCACACCTGCCTCCGAGCATGGCCTGGACATGGCCTTGCCGACAGCAGGCCCAGTGGCTAAGCTACAGGTGGCTTCATCTCCACCTGTCTCAGAGGCTGTGCCGAGGGTGACCGAGTCCAGCGGGCTTGTGTCTACCCCTGTTCCCACAGCTGACGCCGCTGGCCCCGCCTGGTCTCCCACCCGCAGAGCTGGGCCTGATGTGGAGACGGAAGCGGTTGTGTCTGCGCCCTCAGCCGGGGCCCCTGGATACCGCTCTGGGGAGCCCGCACTGGGTCTCACCCAAGTCCCCAAGAAGAAGAAAGTGCGCTTCTCTGTGGCTGGGCCCGGCCCCAACAAGCCAGGCCCAGGAGAGGCCTCAGGCCTGGCCCCATCGGCCACAGCCAGGCCCTCAGCCCCCCGGACAGCAACTGGGGGCCACGGGGGGCCCGGAGCCTGGGATGCTGTGGCTGTCGGTCCCCGGCCCCACCAGCCTCGGATCCTCAAGCACCTGCCTCGCCCCCCTCCCTCTGCCGTGATGAGGGCCCGGCCCGGGCGCAGCTTTGCCGTGACCCTCCCGGAGGCCTACGAGTTCTTCTTCTGTGACACCATCGAGGAGGACGAGGATGCTGAGGTGGCAGCAGCCGGTCAGGATCTGGCAGACATCCAGTGGCCGGACATGTGCGAATTCTTCTTCCAAGACGCTGGAGCCCAGAGGCCGAGGCAGCGGGGGTCCCCGGCGCCACTCCCAAGAGCTGATCCTGTACCAGCCCCCGTACCTGGAGACCCTGTGCCCATCTCCATCCCTGAGGTCTATGAACACTTCTTCGGGGACGACAGGCTTGAGGGCGTGCTAGGGCCGGCTGTCCTGCCCCAGCTGCAGGCCCCGGAGCCTCCCAGGTCGGCCTTCCAGGGTGCGGGGCCGGGGACCCCCCTCAAGCCAGCCACAGTAGAGCGGCTCCACCTGGCTCTTAGGCGGGCAGGTACGTGCTCTCGGATCCCCGTCCAGGTAGGTCCCAGGCAAACACTGTCCAGGGAGCTTGGCCAAGGAGGGGACCACTGGGGAGGGGCAGGCAGGGCTCAGGTCATCCCCTGGCAGGGGAGCGTGGGGGACCAGCCCCCAGTCACCCCAGGACACAGTCCAGACGGGGTGGCCCAGGCCAGGCGCCCGGGCTGTTCAGGGGGCTGGCTCTGCACTGGCTGTTGCCCTGTGTTGTTCCCGCCCCGGCCTCGCTGCCTTCAGGGTCAGGCATCTGCGAGGCGACATCTCACACTCATCTCCTCTGGGAGATGCTTCACAGACCAGAAAACGGGGGCTCCACAGGCAGTCCCCCCAGACTGGCCCAACTCAACCAGGTCACCCAAGTCTCAGGCAGAGGAAGCACGGGGCAGATGTGACTCCGACAGACACGTCCAGGGCAGGCAGTTTCCGGGGCAGGCGGCCCCCGGGGCAGGCAGTTCCCGGGAAGACGTGTCCAGGACAAATGTCTCTTACGACAGACATGTCCCAGGGTGGACGTGTCTGGGACAGGCGGTTCCCAGGGCGGGCGTGTGCGGGGCAGGCGGTTCCCGGGGTTGGGGGGAGGCGGGTCCCGGGGTTGGGGGGTGGAGGCGGTTCCCGGGATTGGGGGCAGGCGGTTCCCGGGATTGGGGGGAGGCGGTTCCCGGGATTGGGGGCAGGCGGTTCCCGGGATTGGGGGCAGGCGGTTCCGGGGTTGGGGGGGGGTCCGGGGGGGGGGGGTGGTTCCGGGGTTGGGGGGGAGGGGTTCCCGGGGTTGGGGGGGAGGTGGTCCCTGGGGTGGGCATGTGCAAGGCAGACGGTTCCCTGGGTTGGAGGGAGCAGGGGGTTTCTGGGGTTGGGGGGAGGCGGTTCCCGGGATTGGGGGGGGAAGTGGTTCCTGGGATTGGGGGGGAAGTGGTTCCCGGGATTGGGGGGGAGGTGGTTCCCGGGATGGGGGGGGAAGTGGTTCACGGGATTGGGGGCAGGCGGTTCCCGGGGTTGGGGGGGAGGCGGTTCCTGGGGTTGGGGGGGGAGGCGGTCCCTGGGGTGGGCATGTGCAAGGCAGACGGTTCCCTGGGTTGGAGGGAGCAGGGGGTTTCTGGGGTTGGGGGGAGGTGGTTCCCGGGACTGGGGGGGAGGCGGTTCCCAGGATTGGGGGGGGAGGCGGTTCCCGGGATTGGGGGGGGAGGTGGTTCCCGGGATTGGGGGGGAGGTGGTTCCCGGGATTGGGGGGGAGGTGGTTCCTGGGATTGGGAGGGGGAGGTGGTTCCCGGGATTGGGGGGGGCGGTTCCCGGGATTGGGGGGGAGGTGGTTCCCAGGATTGGGGGGAAGGCGGTTCCCAGGATTGGGGGGAGGCGGTTCCCGGGATTGGGGGGGAGTGGTTCCGGGTGGGGGGGGAGTGGTTCCCGGGGTTGGGTGGGGGGAGGCGGTTCCCGGGGTTGGGGGGGAGGCGGTTCCCGGGGTTGGGGGGGAGGCGGTTCCCGGGACTGGGGGGGGAAGTGGTTCCCAGGGTTGGGGTGGGGGGAGGCGGTTCCCGGGATTAGTGGGGAGGTGGTTCCCGGGGTTGGGGTGGGGGGAGGCGGTTCCCAGGGTTGGGGTGGGGGGAGGCGGTTCCCGGGGTTGTGGGGGGAGGCGGTTCCCAGGATTGGGGGGGAGGTGGTTCCCAGGACTGGGGGGGAGGCAGTTCCCGGGGTTGGGGCGGTGCAGGGAGTTCCGGGCGGGCATGTGCGGGGCCGTCTCTAAGTGCAGCCATGGGGCTGACGGTGAGCTTCTCTCCTAGCGGAGCTCCGGGGGCCTGTCCCGTCATTTGCCTTCAGCCAGAATGACATGTGCCTGGTGTTTGTAGCCCTTGCCACCTGGGCTGTGAGGACGTCAGATCTGCACACCCCAGACGCTTGGAAAACAGGTTCGGGTGCTGGGGGCAGAGGGAGCTGTGGCTAGAAGCCAGACCGAGGGGCACTGGCAGGACGAGGGGTGCATGGGGGCCCCAGGGCTCTCCCCTGACCTGCTCCTCCTAGGCTGAGCCGCGGCCCTGGCCGCACCGGCCTAGCCCGCCCTTTGAGGGCTGGGTCTTGCGGGCAGACGGTGGTCACAGCCAAGCTGGCCCTCAGGAGACCCTGTGCTTCTCTTGCAGTCTTGCTGGCCAACATCGGCACCATCTCTGCCATCCGCTACTTCCGCCGGCAGGTGGGGCAAGAGCGCCACAGCCCCAGCTCCTAGGAGCCAGGCCCGGGCCAGGGAGATGCGGGATGAGGAGATGACCACAGGCACCCAGGACGGGACGAGGTGCTACCCTTGCCCGAGCCCTCTGACCCCTGTCTTCTACGGTGTCCAGGAGGGGGGCGTGTCCTGGTGCTGCTCCCTCGGACTCACCTGAGGATCCAGCCAGTGGCCATGGCCACTCCCCACGCCTGGGAGGGAAGGTGCTAAAGTCTGGGTGGGTGGAGGGAGGCAGGTGGCTGGATAGGAGGGTGGCCAGATTCACAGATGAGAACACAGGGCATTTGGTTAATTTCAGACATGCAATAGTGGGGAGGTCATTTTACTAAGAAGTTATTTGTTGTTTATCTGAAATCACATTTAACCGCACCCTGCATTTCTTCCGGGATGCAGTGGGGGCTGAGTGGCAGGACAGGACTTGGACCCTGGAGGGGTCTGAGCAGCGAGAGGCTCTGGTTGGAGCTCTGGGCAAACGGAGGGGCGAGGACACAGGGCAGCCTCCTCACAGGTGGGCCGGGCTGCCAAGGGCTCCAAGGCCCATCACTCTTGATCCTCAAGGGACTGTGGCCAAGGCCTCTCTGAGCTCTGGCCTGAGACAGTGAAGGCAGCCCAGCGGCCCCTGCAGGGTGGGGGTCTGTGGCAGAGCTGCGAGCCCCTCCCTGGGAAGCCCTGGGTGCAGGTGCAGAGGGAGAATTTGGCGGCATCAGACGGAGGGCTGGGCTCCTGGGGTTGTCCTGGCGGCTCTTGTGGGGCAGCTGGGGGCCCACGGCCAAGGGGAGTCAGAGACGAGTTGGGAAGGTCGGTGAGGGGCCGAAGGTGGCAGAGGAAGGGGGCTGCCTGGCTGGGTGCCAGGTGGGGGTCCCCGGGTGGGGGTCCTGCCAAGGCAGTGCGTGCAGGGTCCTCAAGACTGTGGGAGATCCTGGCTGCTGAGCGGAGAACACGTGTACGCGGCACCAATAAAATTCTTTCTTTTCTTTTTCTTTCTTCTTTTCCTCGTTCTCTCTCTCTCTTTCCTTCTCTTCTCTTCTCTTCTCTCTTTTCTCTTTTTGTTCTTTCTTGTCCGGTGGTGTCAGCATCTCCCGTGCTGCCCTATGGCGCATGCCCAGGCCATGCAAGGACCCACCCGCCCTCCTCCTTGGGACACCCTGGCCAGTGCTCCTCACACCTTGCTGACCTGTGACCCTCATGCCCTCTGACCTCACATACCATCTGACCCTGCTGACCTTTCTCTTTCCTCCGACCTTCACGCCCATGCCGCCCTCCCACTCCCAGTGAGTCTCCCCCCTGACTCCTGGCGAGCTGAGCTGAGGGCCGACCCTGTGGATGGCCAGGACCTCCCTGACCTGTGACCCACCTCGCCAGCCAGGGCATCCCCTCCCTGCCCCAGCTGCTGGCACTGAGGAGCAGGAGCCGAGGACAGGCTCTGAACTCAGGGCCCCGGAGACCCCCCATCACACTGGGTTCAGACCCTGACTTGTAATTTGAAGTGGGTTAGAGGGGCGGGTACCCTGGAGCTTGGTGAGGGTGGTCCTGAGAGCCGGCCTCACCGTGGCCATCAGATCCACTGCACCAGACCCGCACTGGCCTCAGGCCCTCCAAGCTGGGGGCACTTCCGGTGGGAGGAAGACAAAGTCTCGTCCCACAGGTGGTCGTAGCCGGGGCCCTGGCTCCTCCTGGAGGACCAGCCATCTATGAGGGAAGGCAGAGATGTGTCAGCCTGTGGGAGGCAACAGGCACTCACCCCAGGAGGCAGGACCCTCACTCACCTGTCAGAGGCAGCCGGGGTTCAGGCAAACCTTCCCTGGCAGAGGAGACCTGGGAAGCCCAAACTGCCAGTCTGAGAGCCAGGTACAGCCCCAGGCAGGGAGCTTGGAGACGGCCGGTCGATGTGCAGATCCCCACCCCCCGGGTTGGCATCACCCACGTCCCCCTGCTCTCCCCCCCAAGTCCCGTCTCCCCACCTCCCTGCTGGCCTCCCCGGTCTCCATCTGCCCCCGTCCTCCTGTTTCCCTCCCTGCTCCCTCAGAGTCCCAGGAGGCCCCACACCAGCGCCCCCAGCACCCCAGAGCGCAGGGCACACTGGCGTGAGGACTGCTACTCACAAGCTGAGGGGAGTCTGGGGGCTGCGGCCCCCCGTCCTTGGCTGAGCCCCGGTGTCTCTGAGAGGCTCTGGACTGCATGACTGCCTTCTTGGAGAGCAAGTGGGGGCCCGAGGGGCCGGAGGAGCTGGAGCCGGGGTCAGAGGCAGGCACAGACACAGGTACCAAGGGGAGTGGGCTCAAGGGCACAGGTCCAGGTGAGCTCTGCATAGCACTGAGGAACTGCCAGGAGAGCCTGGGCTGGGGCCTCAGTGGCATCCAGGGACCCCCAGAACCTCAACCTCCCATCAGAGCCTGAACAGACCTCAGGCTCGGGGCAGCCCCAGACCCCAGGCCGAGAGGCACGGTCTAGACCTCCCCAACCTCAGGCTGCAGGCACCTCCCGCCCTTTCTGTCGCCCAGCAGGGGCCTGACCTCCTCCAGGCCCCGGACATCGGTGACCCTGCGGTGGGAGGTGGCGGGGGGCGTGTAGGGGTCAGCATAGAGGGGTGAGTGTGAAGTTTCCGAAGCGTGGTCAGGGGCGTCTGGGCTGTTCTCCAGGCTCAGCCTGTTCAGCTGCAGGGCAGAGGTGGGAGAGATGGGCTTCTCGGCCAGAAGCAGCCTAGGCCACCCCTTCTCTGTGCAAGACACCCCGGGTGATGCCAGGACAACCAGGCCCAGAGACAGGCCAGTGCAAGACACCCCGGGTGACGCCAGGACAACCAGGCCCAGAGACAGAGGCCAGTGCAAGACACCCCGGGTGACGCCAGGACAACCAGGCCCAGAGACAGGCCAGTGCAAGACACCCCGGGTGACGCCAGGACAACCAGGCCCAGAGACAGGCCAGTGCAAGACACCCCGGGTGACGCCAGGACAACCAGGCCCAGAGACAGAGGCCAGTGGTGCGGAATGGTGGGAACCAGGCCAGGGGCCGGGTGGGTGTGCTGGGCCCACCTGGGTCAGGTCCAGGTGCAGTGGGGTGGCAGGGCCGCGGCCCTCTGCCCGGGCCTTGCTCCTGGGTGACCGGCTGCTGTTACGTCTCAGCTCAGTCCTCCGTCGGCCAATGCTGGTGCGGTCAGAGTTGGCCTGGTCCTGTGGGGACCACACACCTTCCACAGAGAGCCCCTTGGCCCCTCTCCTGTGTAACTCTCTGAGGCTGCAAGGGGCTCCCTCCAGTCTGAGTTCCCCTGACGAACCAGGGTCCCCAACACACACGTACCCGACAGTCTTCTGTCCCACTTTCGTCTGCCACCCTGTAAGCACTCACCGGTGCGTGCTGGGAGGAGCAGCCCACAGTGGATGGCACTGAGGACTCAGGCAAGGAGTGGCTGGTGCGTGTGGAGGGGGGCGCCAGGCACCCCGAGTCCCAGCTGGTCCGTCCGCCTGAGGACAGTGAGCCTCGGCCGCTGCCCGTAACCTGGGTGGGCAGCGAGTGGGGGTGAATGAGGGCTGGACCCCCTCCCCACCTGCCCCTGCCTGGACCTACCCTGCTGCCCCCGCTTTTTTCTTTTTGGGACGGAGTCTTGTTCTGTCTCCCAGGCCGAAGTGCAGTGGCACAATCTCAGCTCACTGCAACCTCTGCCTCCCGGGTCAAGCGATTCTCATGCCTCAGCCTCCTGAGTAGCTGGGATTACAGGGGTGCATCACCACGCCTGGCTAATTTTTTGTTTGTTTGTTTGTTTTGAGACGGAGTCTCTCTGTGTCACCCAGGCGGGAGTGCAGTGGCGAGATCTCGGCTCACTGCAAGCTCCGCCTCCCGGGTTCACGCCACTCTGCCGCCTCAGCCTCTGAGTAGCTGGGACTACAGGCGCCTGCCACCTCGCCCAGCTAGTTTTTTGTATTTTTTAGTAGAGACGGGGTTTCACCGTGTTAGCCAGGATGGTCTTGATCTCCTGACCTCGTGATCCGCCCGCCTCGGCCTCCCAAAGTGCTGGGATTACAGGCTTGAGCCACTGCGCCAGTCCAATTTTTTTTGTATTTTTAATAGAGATGGGTTTCTCCAAGTTGGCCAGGCTGATCTCGAACTCCTGACCTCAAATGATCCACCTGCCTCAGCCTCCTAAAGTGCTGGGATTACAGGCGTGAGCCACCATGCCCGGTCTGCTGCCCCATTTTTACCACTGCCCAGCACCTGGGCTGTGGGGCCTGCTGATGCCTCACCTGCAGCCCTGGGAAGCTCTCGGCGCCAGGCAGCGGCGGGGCCCCCGCCCTGTGGGTGACAGCACGAAGGCACAGCAGCCAGTGGCTATAGTCCTCATAGCTGGTGCACACCACGCGGATGGTGTTGATGAGGGGGCCTGGCACACAGATGCTGTGAGGGGCTGGCAGGGTGGGGTGTACCCCTCAGCACCCCCACTAAAGAGCCAGGTGTCCCCCAGGCTCCCGCCCCACCATGGCCTGGCCAGGCAGGAGGCAGAACTGGGGTCAGGGCCCCACCTTCGATCAGGAAGGAGTGGATCTGCTTCTCCTTCTCCTCCAGGTTGATGTGGACCGCACGGAGTGGGAGCTCCCCCTGTGGGGGCGGAGACTGAGGGCCAGGCCTTTGTGGGGGCAGCCCCGGGGCCCCGCCTGGCTTCGTCCCACCCTCGTGCCCTCCAGAGCTTGGCTGGGTACTTGGAGAGCTGGGCACCGAGGCCACCGCCCTGAGGGAGGCCAGTGGGTCCCATATGTCCTGGGGCCACTGCTAGCCCTGGCGGGGGGACCTTCGCTGGCTAGGGGCAGACACACAAAGCCACAGGACTGGCCTCCTGGGGTCCCCAGAGAGGAAGTTGGGCCGGGGGAACCACAGGGAGGGCCCTGTGTTTGTTCCTCAGTGATTGAAGTTTACCATGAGTGCACACCCCCTTCCCGGTGCCCACCCTGGGGGACACAGGCACACACACGTGTGCACACACACCCCTCACGGGCAGGCACACACGAGGGAGTCCCCGGGAGGGGCTCTCAGCCCCGTGCTGCCTGCCCCAGGGTGACGGTCAAGAACCTCAGGGTGAGAAGCTCAGGGCGGGCAGGGGCTCCTCCACGTCACGGGGAGACCAGACTGACCAGGACTGCGGGCCTCGCGCTCTGTCTCAACAGGCCCCGAAATACAGGTTCCTCCTGCACGGCCGCCCCCTTCCACCCCCAAACAGGTGCCTCCCTGGGGCGGGCCCACAGTGGGGAGGGGCCCACCTTGAAGCAAAGCCCGTCCAGCTCCTCAGAGAAAATGGCCAGGGACGTCGGGTACAGGACCAAGAGCCGGTCCCACTGCTCCTGAGTGGGGGGCGTCAAACGATGCGGGGGCTGAGCTGCTGTGCACCCAGGGCCAGTCCCTGCCCTGCCCAGCACCCGGCACCCCTCCTGTCCCCCTACAGCCCCATGCACCTCCCACCCACCTGTGCGGGCAGGTGCTGCAGCTTGACCCTCGAGGCACAGACAGCGCTGCCGCCTGGTTCGTGCCCTGACGCCGTCCGCAGCCGGCTTAGGCGGCGTTGCAGAGTCCAGGGGAGCTCGTCTCCACAGGACCCCTGTGAGGAGGAGGTCAGAGCAGGCTGCGAGGATCTGGGTGGGGAGGGGCGTGGGGTCCCTGGCACTGACCTGTGGCGGTGCCGAGTGGCAGTGTTGCAGCCCCCCAAGGAGGGCCGTCTGCTTCTCCAGGTGGTAAAGCCAGCGGTCCAGCTCGGCCCGGCTGGGGCAGAGCACCAGGAGGGGTGCGGGCAGCGGGCCTGCGGGCGGGGCAGAGAGGGCACACACATACACACACATGCCCCACAGCCCACAGGGCAGGCCCCTCTCCAAGTCCTGGGTCACGAGTGCCTCTGGGGGCCCGGGGAGCATCCCAAACACCTGTGATCTGGAAGGCGTGCTCTCGGGACCCCTCCAGCAGGCAGACGCTCAGCTCCGTCAGTGGTAACAGCCCCTGCCAGGCACAGGGTAGGAGCTTCAGGGATCCACGGAGGGAAGGGTGGCCATGGCCCCACCCCCGCCGCCCACTGCCTCACCTGAAAGGTGAGTCCTTCCGAGCCGTGGGCCTGGAAGTACAGGTGGGCGGGGAACAGCTCCAGGTAGCAGTCGCTGACGTCCTGCGCGGGCAGCAGGGTCGTCAGTGCAGGGTCTGGGGAGCCCCAGGCTGGTGGGGATGCTGCACCCACAGTGTGCTCCCCCCGGCCCGGCCCGGCCCCCACCTGGCTGTGCTGGAACCGCAGCTGGACCTTGGCGTAATGTACGACCTTTCCCAGGTTCCTCACAGGCACCCTCCGCCGCACCTTCTTGAACACACTCAGGAACGGCTGCTCCAGGTTTTCTCGTTGGTTCTGCAGGTCCAGGATGTCCTAGGAGGAGCGGTGCTCAGGGGAGGGGCCTTGCCTGGGCCCCCCACCCCCTCCGCTGGCATCCACACAGCTACAGGACTATAGGCATGGTCTGCCTGTGCACAGCCACCCAACATATATGTGAAGAACAGCCTCCCCCAGGCATAGAACCTGCACACTCAGCCTCTCCACAGGAAAACAGTCATGGCAGAACTTACACACACACGTGCATACATATATACACACATGCACGTTTCCATACACGTATATGTACACACCCCCGATACGTGCACATACAGGCAACATGCATGTATCCATATATGCACACACACACATACACGTGCATACACGCACATATGCGTACACGTACACATAGACACACACATGCCACACAATACAGACACATACAGATGCATACACACATGTACACACACGTACACACACATTCACGCATATGCATGGATACACACGTGCACACATATGCACTTGCACACATACACACAGATGCATACATGTCCACACACAGACATACACCAAAACACACATGTATACACATACACGTGTCACGTGCACATATACACATGTGCGCACACATATACACATGTACACACACATGCATGCACTGCACACAAACACATGTACACATGCGCACACATACACACATGCACACCGATACACATGTGTACACACATGCACGCATATGCATACATACACACATGCACACGTACACTTGCACACACATGCACACACGTGCATACATGCATACACATCCACATACCAATACACCAACACACGTATACACATACACGTGTGCACACACGTGTGCACATGCATATACACACATGCATACACACATGCATGCACACATACACAGTGCACAAATACGTGCACACACACGCACATATACACATGTGCATACACATGCACACATACACATACACACTTGTGCACACACTCATGTGCGTGCATACACACACACACACAGACACACTTCCCCACACAGAGCTGCCTGGTCTAGTGGTAGAGATGGTGAGATTTGAACTCAGTGGATTAAATCCTATCTTCATTATTTCCTAAGCTGTGTAACATGTCTTTGGTTATTCAACCTCTGAAGACTTGTTAGAAGAATTTGGGGGTGTCTGGGTAACACTCAAAACCCTCCCACGTCTCCAGTATTGGCTGGTAAACGTTTAACACCTGGTTCTACAAAAAACAGACACAGAAACACACCAATGCCCTGATTTGTAACGTTTGTCAATTTCCTCAGTGTCAATGTTCTCAGCGCCGCCCATTTCCAGCCCCCAGCCTGAAAGATGTGAGGAGATTTCCGGGGTCGATCCCCTGAGTGTGTGCTGGCCACTTGCTTAGGTGACAGCCGGGTCCTGGCAGTGCCCCGAGGGGTCAGACCCCCGCTCTCCGGCCACTGCATGTGCTCTTCCCGCTTTGGGGACCGCTCAGTCCCCACCCCCTTCCTTACCCGCTTTGCAGCTTTGCTCAGACATCACCTGCTCCAAGAGGTCCTTTTCTGAAAGCCCCTCTAAAATTCCAGCCTTCCCTGATCCTCTGCACCCATCCCCGCTGTTTTTCTCCTTAGCACCAACCCCACCCTTCTCACTGGATCTTCTATTTATTTGCCCCATCGTCTGGGAGTGGGAGCACCGTGAGAACAGGGGTTGTCTATTCCGTTCAGTTCTGTGTCCCCAGAGCCTAAGGCAGGGCCTGGGATGTGCTGTGGGTATCACTGCATGTGCTGAGAGGGGAGAGGAATCCACATCCATGCCACACTTAGCCAATCCTGGCACAGTCCTCTACAAATGCAGGCTTTGATCACCAGGCTAGAGATCAGAAAGGGGACGGGTGTGAACCTGGGGCTGGAGAGCTCTGTGATCCACAGGCTCAGGGGCAAGTGGGAAGGTGTCCTGTTCCCTCTAGGAGCTGGCAAGGGCTACCAGCAGTGCTGCTGTGTCCTGGCCAAGCTTAGCTGCCCCTGAGCAGGCCCAGGAATGTGAACAGACAGACGCATAGGCTTTCCCGGCCTCCCGCCTCTGGGTGGGGCCTCCTGTACCCACACCCAGCGTGGGAACTGATGCCGGGTAGGCACCTATGAAAAATAGGCCACAGACCAGGAAGGGCCACACAGCTAGCCCTGCAGCCCAGCTCAGCCTCGGGGCCCCAGGGAGGACTCAGCCTGGAGCCGGCAGAGCCAGCTCACAGCACTGGGTGCAGAGCCCAGGCACAGGGCAGAGGAGCACTGGCTCCAGGACTGGCCCCGAGCTCCTCCCCCAGCCCCATTTCCTGAGGCTCAGCGGGTTCCCTCTCTGGCTACCATGTCCTGGCAAGGGAGGACCACTAGGGCCACCCACCACACCTCATAGGGCCCTACCAGGGTCCCACTGCATGTCCTGGGCCTGGACAGAGAGAGTAGCGTCTGAGATGCAGCCAAAGGGACCCCACCCCTAGGCCAGCCTGGCCCCCTCTGCCTGCCCACTCCTCTGAGGCAGTGTGGTTTCCAAAACCAGCACCTGTTGTCTGCAGGGAACCCTGAAACTCTGCAGGTCAGGAGAGGGTATGGCACGAGCCTCCTGCCTGGCGGGGGCATGTTGGCAACGGGGTCTGCACGGCCACACCAGCTGCTGGACCTAGGAGTGCAGGGCAGGGGTCCTCTCCCCCAGACGCTCCTAGGGCCTGCACATAGCATCCAGCCTGCCTGACAGGGGTGCCGTGGGGGTTCCTCCTCCTGTTCCCTCAACCCAGCACCAGGCACATCTGAAAGGGGCTGGGCATCTACCCTGTGAAGACCCTTAGTCCTACGGGGGCCTGGGCGGGGGGATGGGCATGGGGGTTCTTCTGCTCCTTCCACGACGGAGAGGTGGCCTAGTGTGTGCTCGGGAGATGCCTCCTTGCTGCGTGGCCTTGGCAGGCTGGGAGGAGGCCCTGCGTGCACAGAGGGGTTGCTGTGGACAGGGCGGCGGTACCCAGCAGCAGCTTCCTGCGGGACACCCCGTCAGAAACAGGCCGCGGGTAGGTGGCCGGCTGGCTCACTGCGCACCTGAAGCCCCTTACTGTCAAGTGACACGACCAGCACGACCCCAGCCCCACTGCAGCGACAGAGACGCGTGCGCCGGTCCCCTGCGGGAGGAGGTCCCGGGAGGCCCCGCCCGCGGCCCGCCCCGCCCAGCTCGCTCCCGACTGACTCAGTCCTGCGTCGCGGTTTCGCTCTCCGCTCAGACTTTCGGCCGGATGAGCTCCCCAGGGCGGGGCAGTCAGCGTCCGCTCCTCACCTAAGGGGGTCTGAATCCCCCCGGGCCGAGGGGAAGACCCTGAACTGCAAGGACACGCGGCACACACGCGCGGGCAGAGCCACGCTCCCAGACCCCAGCTACCGCGTGCGCCGCGCTCACCGTGCCCGGGATGTAGTGGAAGAGCTTGTTGGCGGCGGCGTCCCCGCTTCCAGCAGCCTCGGGGCCCAGCAGGCCAGCCGGCATCCGTGCGCCGTCCTCTCTGGGGACAAGGCAAGGGAGCTCGTGGCCCCGGAGCGGGTGGGGGAGCCCCGTGCCCAGGTGGCCACACCCACACCCCGCTCACCTGTTTCCCTTCAATGAGGGCTTTCTGGAGAAGGAGGCCCGGAGCCTCCTGGGGGCCTGAGGGACACAGTGGCTGTTCCCCATGGCCAGAGTCGTGCAGGTCGGCAAGTCTGGGTCCCTGTCCACAGCCTCCTGCCCCCGCCTCCCACAGGCAGGCGGGGCTCTGGGACGTCCCGCCCGTCACCCAGGGCTGGGCGGGGGTGGAGCCATTCTGGAAGAGGCCTCGCCCCTACCTGAGCCATCCAGGTCTCTGCCCTGGGCCCTCCACACCGAGGGGCCAGCCTTGGGGCGATCTCCCCTCTGGCCCAGACAAGGCCTCCAGTGTGCAAGGGGCACCCCACTTGCCTGTGCTCAGGCTTTGTGAAATCGGGGCCACCTTCCAGCACCCCCCCAACAATGTGCACACACATCCTGTTTCCATCTAAACTCTGGCCGGCCTGAGTCACCGGTGACTGCAGGGAGGGCTGAGGCAGGAATTCCAGCGTAGGAGACAGTGCCCAGAGCCACCCCAGCCTCCCCTCCTGCCTGGGCTCCCTCACCAGACCCGTCAGGGTCCTCAAGGCTTAAGGGGACTCTGGAAGGCCACGTGCCACCTAGGCGGCCAGGACAGTCAGCATACGCAGGGGCAGTGCTGTCCTCCCCCGCCGCACCCCCAGAGCCCAAGACGTGGCGGGGACCTCAGCCTCAGGACCCAGCCCAGGCAAACCCCACCTACAGTGGGAGGGACTCCATGGCCCCCACCCTCCCTGGATGCACAGCTCTGCCTTGTAGCCCCCAGACACCGGTGCAGCATCTCAGGCCACCCGCCCACGCCCCTCACCCTGGACCCCCAGATAGGACCCAAAGTTGCGCAGCTGCCCCACAAGCCAGAGAGATGCTCAGCCTGGGAAGCCCCAGAAATGTGTTTATTGTTCAAGTTGGGATTGTATTGCTGTGTGGGGCCCGAGTGCACACGTGTGCACCCACTACAAGATCCAGGGAAGACGGCACAAAGCAGACGATGACAGGAAGGACACCTGCTCCCCACCCTTCCCGGGACCCCGCCGTGTGCAAAATTCGAGCTGGGGTCTGCAGCTGCTTGGAAAGCCCCAGGGCCTCTGGCTCCGCGGCCTGCAGGGTCTGAGCAGGCAATGGCCCTGGGGCAGCGAGGCCCCGACCTGGTCACTCCCGGCTGCCCGCCATGCAGGCAGTGGAGGGGAGGACGGGCGGCCGCAGCACTGCTCACCCCTCAATAAATAAGATAAATAACTAAATAAATAAACAACTAAATATAGACACGAAGGAATGGACGCAGAGACGTGAACAGAAGATGCAAGATGTCCCTGGTGGGGGCCACGGCCCCCTTAAGGCATGTGGGAGGCTGCAGGCCTCTGGGGGTGGGGGGGTCAGAGGCTGGTGGAGGACACGGACAGCGTGGGCGAGGACGGCGGCGGGAAGTTGAGCAGCTCCAGCACCGCCACACCCACACTGCTACGCCGTGTGAACATGCAGGACGCGGCCACCCACTTGTTGGTCCTCGGGTTGTACTTCTCGATGGAATTGAGGCTGGAGCTACCATCGTTACCCCCCACGGCGTACAGCCATCCATCCATGGCCACCAGGTCGTGCGTGCTCCTGGGGGGCAGGCGGGGTGAGCCCCTGGCTGCAGGAAGGGGTGCGGGGGGAGGGGCCGCGCCACGAGAAGCAGTGGGGGCGGGACATGCCCCCTGAAGTGGGGAAACCCCTCCCCACAGCGCAGCCCCACTGCGGACCTGCGGATGTTCATTGGCGCCACGCTCTCCCAGGCTCCGGCCTTGGGACTGTATCTCTCTACCGAGTTGAGGCAGCTGGTCCCGTCGTTGCCCCCTGCCACGTACAGGGCACCCTCCAGCACGGCCACACCTGCTGAGCTGCGTCGGCTTAGCATGGACGCCACGGACGACCAAGCGTTCACCTGGGGGCAAGGGTGTGGGCTGGAGGCAGACCCGCCACAGGCATCCCTCCCCTGCCGCAACCCCAACTCCAGCGTGGGGTGTCAGGAATGGGTGGGATGTGGGTGACCAGAGAGGGGAGGGCCCCGCAGCGCACAGGAGGGGGTGGCCAGGAGGGGTGCACTATGCACCTGGGGCTCATACTTCTCCACAGTGGCCAGGTGTGAGGAGCTGTCGTAGCCGCCCACGGCATACAGGTTCCCATCTGTGGAAAGTCAACACGCCCGTGGCACTCCTGCTGGCAGTGGGGTCTCCAGGGTGGGGGAAGGTGGGACCCCCCCCCCCAGGCAGGCCCCATCACCCACCAAGCGTGGCCACTCGCACATAGCGCCTCCGGGTGCTCATGGCAGCGACGGATGTCCACGTTCCGGTCAGGGGGTCGTAGCGTTCGGCACTGTGGGCACCAGGACCGCCACAGCTCAATAGAGACAGAAAGGCGTCCCGGCCCCAGGACCTGCCCTCCCCAGCAGAACGGCCGAAATCTTACCCTAGGAGTCACAGAGACTCAGACCACAAAGTCCTACCAGCCAGGACCCGCTGGTGGGCACAGGCCCCTGGCTGCCTGGAAAAGCCTGGGCGTACACCCACCTGGGCCCAGCCTCTGGACCGGAGGTAGGGATCCCAGAGAGGAAAGGGGACTGGGGCAGCAAAGCCAGTTCAGGCCCAATGTGGCCGTGGCCTGGGGTGAAGCGGCCTCGCAGATCACCCCCTTTAACACCCCGTCAGATACGACCTCCATGATGGTGACACAAACTCGCCTCTTGCGAGGTGGACCCTACAAAGCCACTGGGGCCCCAACCCCAATTACTACCTGTTCAGGCAGGAGGCCCCGTCATAGCCGCCAGCCGAGTACAGGAGTCCGTGCAAGGCGGCCACACCCAGGCAGCTTCGCCTCGTGCCCATGGACACCTCCGGCTGCCACGTGTTAGTCACGGGATCGTAGGACTCCACGGTAGCCAGGTCTGAGGTCCCGTCATAGCTAGCAGAATTAACCCACTGCAGGTCAAGACTGGCCTGGCGGGCATGCGCCAGACCCGACCCCAGTCCAGCCTCCAGGCTTACCCACCCACGGCATACAGCCGGTCCCCATGGGGCACACACCAGACCTGACCCAAGTCCAGCCTCCGGGCTTACCCGCCCACAGCATACAGCCGGTTCCCCACCGCAGCCACTCCCACCCGGGCCCGGCGCGTGGACATGGAGGCCACCACGTGCCAGCGGTCGGTGCGCGTGTCATAGGCCTCACAGTCTCCGTGGATGGCAAACAGGCTCCCACCGCCTGGGGAGGGCAGGTGGAGACGGGACTCGTGAGTGGATCCCACTGCTGGGCCACACCCCGGGCTCCTGGAGAGGCCCCTGGATGGAGGGGCGGAGGGGCAGGTCAGGACCTGACCGGCACAGGTGGGGTGGGCTTGTGCTGGTGGGGGGCAGAAGGCACAGGGCAGGAAGGAAAGGGGCGGGGAGCCATACCCACAGCAAAAAGCACAGGCCCGGCCCCCTCACAGCGCCGGGGCCGCGTGCGGCTGGTGCCTAGGACGCCCCTCTGCTCGGGCAGCAGGTGGAACTTCAGGGCCTCGATGAGAAGGTCCTTGCAGTCAGGGTGGTGCCTCACCAGGCTCTCGGCATCCACGTGGCCCAGCAGGAAGTCGCGGCTCAGTAGAGGCAGCCGCACACACTTCATGAGCTGGGGCGCAGGGAACACTACGCTCAGGCGGGACCCTCAGGCACACTGGGCCCCAGGGCTGAGACAACCCCCCAGACGCCTGTACCACCTGTGTGACGGGTTTTTCTTCAGACAGGGTGGGTACCATCCCCACGGAATCCCTGAACTCGGGAAAGATCAGGGCGCACCAGGCCCTCAGCCACCTGCATGCCCTCCTGGATGCTATGGGAGCCCCCGGGGCCGGGCCTCACCCGTGGGACATGCTGCCTGCGGGCGTCCACGTCATGTTTCACCCAGCTGAGGACTGCTCGGTAGACCTCCTCCTCCGAAGGCACGTTTAGGCTGTCACTAGAGACCAGTTCCAGCACCTGGGGGTGGAGGTCCTCAGACCTGAGATCTGGGGAGGGTCCTGTGGGCCCAGGGAGCCCCGAAGATGCCTAGGAGGAGGGTTGGGGGTGGGGGCTGAGTGTTCATACTGGGAGGGGCTGAGCAGAGTCAGGAGCCACAGACCAGGCTCCTGGGGGGCCTCCATCCAGGAGGGTCTTGGGGATGCACAGCAGGCACTAAGGATTGTGAGCAGGGCTGCATCAGGACAAAATGGGGTCGGGAGTCAAAAGCAAAAACGGGTGGGGTGGAGGGCGCCGGCTGGGCCCACCAGCTGTTACCTGTTTCAGGGGCAGCAGCATAAACTCTTCGGTCTTGGCCACGTCCACGAAGTGCTGCAGCACGTACCTGTGGGCGGCCTTGAGCAGGTCGCTGCAGGAGTGCGCATCGGCAAAGCCCCGGATGCCCAGGCAGTTGGAGGGGTCGAGCTGACTCAGCAGGAACTTGCAGCAGGCGTCTCGGACGCCATTCAGCTGCAGGAGGCTGGCGGCTGGGAGCAGAGTCTACGGGGCACCGAGATGCGGGTGAGGGAGGCACAAGGTGGAGGGCAGCGGGATCTGGCTGCGAGGACTTCACCGGGCCCCAGGGGAGACAGCCTCACCTGCACGTTGCCCTCGCCCACCACGATCTCAGCCGTGTACGCAAACTGCACCAGCTGGTCCAAGGCCTGAGGGTCGATGTCGTGCAGCGTCACGTGGGTCTGGCGGCTCTCGCTCATCTCATCTGTGGGGACAGCGTGTCAGAGGGGCTGACCCGAGGGACCCACGGAGTCCCCAGCGCCGCGCAGGCGGGTACTTGCTTGTGAACATGGCGTGGAAGTACGGGCTGCAGGAGGCCAACACCACTTTGTGTGCACGGATCTCCTTGGCGGCCACGTGCAGGACGATGTCGCACAGGAGGCCGCGCTGGCGCATGCGGCTCATGGCCACGAAGGCGTCGTGGTAGTGCCGCTTGGAGTTGTGGGCCACGCTGTGGCCCTCGCGGCTCAGCAGCTGCACGGCTCCCTCCATGGGGGCTGCGGGCCGAGCCTGCCGGGGCCGCGTGCGCTCTGCCTCGGGGCTGCAGGGGGCGGGCGGGTCAGGCTTCGCCCGGCTGGCGCTGCCCGCCCGCCCTGGTTGCCCTGGAGACTCTGGGCCGTGCCCGGGCAGCCCGCGGGGACCCAGCCCCTGGTGCGACGGGGGCGCCGGCAGCCCTCGCCTGACCTCCGCCAAGGACCCCCGCCCCGCGCGCGCCGTGTCCAGGCCTGCGCTGCGCCCCTGCTCCCCCGGGCGTCGTCAGAGCCCCGCGCCTGGCCCCGCTCCCCGGCGCCCCCACGAGCTCAGCTCCTCCGCGTTCCCAGCCGCCCTCTCGGGCCCGCAGCGGGAGCGGCGACCTGGGAGCGCGGGGCGCCGGTGGGGACGCTACTCCGGGCCGACCCCGCTCCGCACCCAGGTCCCGACCTCCCCGGGCCCTCGGGAGCGGCCCCCGCCCCTTCTGCGAACGGACGCGAGGGCGGGGGCCGGGCAGGTCCCGAGGCCGCCCCCCGCGCCCCGACCCCCGCCCACTCACGCCGGCGGCTGCGGCGGTGGCGGCGGCGGCGGCGCCTCGGGCCCAGGCCCCGGGCTGCCGTGCTCCGGGCTCTGCGTCCTGCCGGCCGGGCGCTCGCTGCGGGGCTGCATTCGGCTGCCGGACCCGCCGCCGATTCGCGGAGGACGCGCGGGCGAACCGACGCGGAGACTGCCGGAGGGCTGCTCGGCGGTGGCGGCCCGCTCGCGTCGCTCAGTCCCGCCGCTCCCGCCCGCAGCCGCTGTTTCTCGGCGCCGCCCGCCCCGCCTGCCGAGAGGCTTCGGGGACTAGATGTTGGACGCGGATCCTTCCAGCGCCGCGCCCCGGGTTCGCCGCCTCCTCCGAGAAGCCCCCTAAAGGCCCCACCCTCATCCTCCTCCAAGAAGCCCCCCAGGCCCCGCCATCCTCCTCCTCCGGGAAGCCCCCCAGGGCCCGCCATCCTCCTCCTCCGGGAAGCCCCCCAGGCCTCGCCCTCCTGCTCCTCCGGGAAGCTCCCCAGGCCCCACCATTCTCCTCCCTCGGGAAGCCCCCCCCTAGGCCTTGCCCTCCTCCTTCGCCGGGAAGCCCCCCAGGCCTCCCCCTCCTCCTCCTCCGAGAAGCCTCCCAGGCCTCACTCTCCTCTGGGAAGCCCTCACAAGCCTCGCCCTCCTCCTCCCCCAGGAAGCCATCCCCGCCCCCTTGACCCCCTAACTTGCTCTCCTCCGGGGAGCCCCGCGGCCCCGCAGCACCAAGAGGCCACATGGGACCCCGAGGCCACTCCGCCCGCGTCCCTCACTCGCCCTTTCAGCGCCAGGGCTGGCGGAGCCGCGCCTGCGCCCCAGGGCGCCCCTGTCGTGGGGTCTGGCTGTCCAGGCCCGCGGGCCCCGGTGTCAGGCTGGTAGCAGGGAGGAAGGCGCCGGTCTCCCCACGGCCTTCACCCCGTGCGGCGTCCCCGGGAAGGGCCGCAGAAGAGCCACCGTCGGCGTCCAGAGGGCCGTGGACGGGGAGCTCCCTGCGCGGTGTTCGTGGCGCTGGCCCGATCTCCGCGGATCGGGCAAAGCCAGCCTGGCCCTCGGGTCGCCCGTCTTTTGTCGAGTTGGCGACATCAGTGCGGTTCCCACCGCCCCTCGCGTTTCCTACTGGACCCTCGACTTTTTTTTTTTTTTTTTTTTTTTGAGACGGAGTCTCGCTCTGTCGCCCAGGCTGGAGTGCAGTGGCGCGATCTCGGGTCACTGCAAGCTCCGCCTCCCGGGTTCACGCCATTCTCCTGCCTCAGCCTCCCGAGTAGCTGGGACTACAGGCGCCCACAACCGCGCCCGGCTAATTTTTTGTATTTTTTTTAGTAGAGACGGGGTTTCACCGTGGTCTCGATCTCCTGACCTTGTGATCCGCCCGCCTCGGCCTTCCAAAGTGCTGGGATTACAGGCGTGAGCCACCGCGCCCGGCCGACCCTCGACTTTTTATTGTTGATTCGTGGGAGCTCTTTGCATAGGGGCCCCGCCGTCGCAGTCTGGCGTCCTCGCAGGCGCGTGCCCTCGGAGCGCCGGGTGGGCTGCGGGCGCGACGGGGCACCTGGTCTCTCTTTCCCGGGGCGGACACCGGCGTCGCCGCGTCCTGCTGAGCCGGGCGCCGAGCGGGAGGCGCATCGGGGCTCCACCTGGGCTGCCCGCACCGTGCACTCGAACGCGCCCTCCCGCCCGGAGACAGCAGGCGCAGCGGTCGGAGAACCGTAGAACCACTCGGCTGGGCGTGGCACGGCGGGGCGGGGAACGGGGCGGGGCCTGGGCGGCGGAAGTGCGCCGCAGCGCGGCATTCTGGGGCCGGAAGTAGGGCGCACGCTGTGGACTGGTGTCATGGCAGCTCCCCGAAGCCGCAAGAGGTAAGCAGCGGGTCCGAGGGCCGCCTCTGCCTCTCGGTGGGTGTTTGTATCCAAGGGGCTTTTCTTGCTCCTCTCAGCGGGGCTGGGGCGAGCTGCTCCTGCGGGCAGCTGTGACTCCTGCGTGACCCGCAGGCGCCTGGCGGAGCTGACGGTGGACGAGTTCCTAGCTTCGGGCTTTGACTCCGAGTCCGAATCCGAGTCCGAAAACTCCCCAGAAGCGGACACGCGGGAGACACGCGAGGCTGCCCGGAGTCCGGATGAGCCGGGCGGGAGTCCCTCGGCCAGGTGAGTGGGGACGGGGGTGAGCAGAACCTCCTTGCTCGTCCTGGCCCACCCCGCCGCAAGTTTGCTGACCTCGCCTGGGGTCTCAGGGTCAAGGCCTAAGGACCTCCGACCTCTACCCCCAGCCCCTTCAGCTTAGCTTACTGTTTCATCCGTTGTTTACTGAGCTCCTGCTCCGTGCCAAACCCTGTCCTATGTACGTCCTACGAGCGTATGTTGGGGGTTCTGCAAACGTCTCTTCGCGATCTGGGAGAGCTCGCACGGTCTTGGGTAAAATCACCGCCTGCAGTTCAGTGGAACAGATAAGTGCTGGGGAGGGAAAGGAGAGACAGGCTGGAGAGAGAATTGCCAGGGGAGCCGAGTTGCTCTGTTAGAAGGAGCGGAGGCTGGGCGCTGTGGCTCACACCTGTAATGCCAGCACTTTGGGAGGCCCAGGCGGGCAGATCACCTGAGGTCAGGAATTCGAGACCAGCCTGACCGACATGGAGAAATCTTGTCTCTACTAAGAATACAAACATTAGCCGGGCGTGGTGGGTGCCTGTAATCCCAATTACTCGGCAGGCTGAGGCAGGAGAATCGCTTGAATTCAGGAGGTGGAGGTTGCAGTAAGCCGAGATGGCACCGTTGCATTCCAGCCTGGGCAACAGAGTGAGACTCCATCTCAAAAAGAAAAAAGAAACCCAAAAATACAAAAATTAGTTGGGCATGGTGACATGCACCTGTAGTGTTAGCTACTTGGGAGGCTGAGGCAGGAGAATCGCTTGAACCTCGGAGGCGGAGGTTGCGGTGAGTGGAGATTGCACCACTGCACTCCAGCCTGGGCGACAGTGAGATTCCATCTCAGAAAAAATAAAAAGAAAAGAAAAGCGGAGGTGACTGAGAAGATGATGTCTGAATAAAGACCTCAAGCGAGGAGGCCACGCAGGCAGTAGGGGGAGCGTGTCTTGGATTTCAGGTAGCAGAAACAGTAAAGGCCGTGCAGTGAGAGCATTTGGGGAGGGTGCAGAGGTAAACGTGGTGGCTGTGGCAGGAGTGAGCTGGTGAGTAGGGGCAGATGAGCCCGGAAGGGTGATGAAGAGCCAGGGGCCATAGACTGTCCTAAGGTTACCTTGTAAAACAGGAAGTTATTTCTGGGTTTGAGCGGTGGAGTGCCTTGTAGGTGGCAAGGGTGGAAACGGAGAGACTTTTATGTTAACTGAGAGTTGAACTCTGGTGGTTTGAGAGGAGGTGTGAATGGTTTTGAAGGTGTTGCTAATGAGATCTGATGACAAGTTGCGTGCTGGGTATTAGAGACAGAGGTTTGAGACAGAGGTTTGCCTTTAGTCTGAGTCCCTGGAAGGGTGAAGCTACCAACAGCCAGAGTAGAGCATGGCACAGGTGCAACAAGTCTAGGGAAGACCGTGGCTGGGGGTCCTGTGTATTGGGTTTGAGTGTATGTTGTAGAGGCTGTTGGGCAGGAGAGATGGGTCTGCCAAAAACATACCTCCTGGCAATCCTCCTGCCTTGCTTGTTGGTGACTCTCGTGAATGGAGCAGACTAACCCTGTAGGCCACTCCCCACCCCCTCTACTTCCACTTTCTACTGGGGTTGCTGACTTGTGCCTTCTCAGCCGGCGTAAAGGCCGTGCCTCTGAGCACAAGGACCAGCTGTCTCGGCTGAAGGACAGAGACCCCGAGTTCTACAAGTTCCTGCAGGAGAATGACCAGAGCCTGCTAAACTTCAGCGACTCAGACAGCTCTGAGGAGGAGGAGGAGCCGTTCCACTCCCTGCCGGATGTGCTGGAGGTGAGGGCATGGGCCGAACCAGAAGGAGGGCACTTGTGGCCTTTACACCCTCCTTCAGCTCAGCCTTTCTGTGCAGGAAGCCAGTGAGGAGGAGGATGGAGCAGAGGAGGGGGAAGATGGGGACAGAGTCCCCAGAGGGCTGAAGGGGAAGAAGAATTGTGTTCCTGTGACCCTCGCCATGGTTGAGAGATGGAAGCAGGCAGCAAAGGTGAGCAGCAGCGAGGGGTGGGCAGCCGGTGCCCTAGGCAGGAATCTGGCCTTGCCTCACTTGGGGTGCCTGAGGCTGTGCTGGTGGGAGGAGCTCTTCTCCACGCAGGGGACACTGGAGTCCTCTTCAGCGCAGGTCACTATGCCTTGATCCTCCTGCTTGCTTGATTGCCCCAGGACTGTGTGTTCACCTTTGGGTAGATTCCAGGGGCTCTGTCGGTGCCTGGCTCCCCAAAATCTGCCCCACTGTGGGTGGGATGGACTGTCTGTGCCTTTGTTGGCTGGGGGAGCTGGGGTCCTTCTGAGCCTCTCTCAGTGGTTTTTCTAGGGACAAGGATAGGGAGAGCTCCAGATACCACCTGGAGGTGGCCATAGTCCAGGATCTGGAACCCCCAGCCCGTTCCCTGGGGCTCCTGAGCCAGACTCCCTCCCCTTCCCAGAGAATTCTAGACTTTGTTTCCATTTTTGTTATCCGTATGGAGCTCTGTGGGCCCCCCCCACCTCTGCCCTGTGTCTGAGGGCGAGGGTGCCTTTCTCTGGGGCCGCCGTTTCCACTCTGCCCAGTGCAGTCTTGGCTCCCCTGACGCCCCGGTACTCTTGCTCCTTAGCAACGCCTCACTCCAAAGCTGTTCCATGAAGTGGTACAGGCGTTCCGAGCAGCTGTGGCCACCACCCAAGGGGACCAGGAAAGTGCTGAGGCCAACAAATTCCAGGTCACGGACAGTGCTGGTGAGCTGGGGGGACCCTGGCATCCAGGCTGGTGAGCTTGAGGGGACCCTGGCATCCAGGCTGTCTGTTGTGTTCTCTATCCCATGAGTACATCCGGGCCTTTTCATTGCAGTGTTTAATGCTTTGGTCACCTTCTGCATCAGAGACCTTATTGGCTGTCTCCAGAAGCTGCTGTTTGGAAAGGTGGCAAAGGACAGCAGCAGGTAAGAGGGGAGGGAGTGAAAGGGGGATTGGGACTACACACAGGAGAAGCCAGAGGCCTTGTGGCCAGGACAGAGATGTGGTGACAGAGCCAGGCTCTTCTCGGGGACCCTGAGAAGGCAACGAGGCATGAGGGACCCTTGGGAGAGGCTGGGCACTTGGGGCCAGTTGGAGTGGCC